ACTACTGCAGAACTCCCCCCAAGGCAGTAGACTACTGCAGAACTCATCCCAAGGCTGTAGTTGACTGCAGTACTCCTCCCAAGGCAGTACACTTCTGCAGTTCTCCTCCCAAGGTAGCAGACTACTGCAGTACGCCTCCCAAGGTAGTAGACTACTGCAGAACTCCTCTCAAGGCAGTAGACTACTGCAGTACTCCTCCCAAGTCAGCAAACTACTGCATTACTCCTCCCAAGGAGGTAGACTACTGCAGTTCTCCTCCCAAGGCAGTAGACTACAGCAGAACTCCTCCCAAGGCAGAAGACTACTGCAGTTCTCTTCCCAAGGCAGTAGTAGACTGCAGTACTCCTCCCAAGGGAGTAGACTACTGCAGAACTCCTCCCAAGGCAGTAGACTACTGCAGTACTCCTCCCAGGGCAGTAGACTTCTGCAGTACTCCTCCCAAGGCAGTAGACTTCTGCAGTCCTCCTCCCAAGGCAGTAGACTACTGCAGAACTCCTCCCAAGGCAGAAGACTACTGCAGTTCTCCTCCCAAGGCAGTAGACTACTGCAGAACTCCTCCCAAGGCAATAGTAGACTGCAGTACTCCTCCCAAGGCAGTAGTAGACTGCAGTAGTAGATTGCAGGAGCAAAGCAGTTGTACATCAATGCAGATGTAAAAAAAAACCCACTGGAATGCTTACTGCTGCACAAATAACATTCTGCCACAACAAATAATTATTCCATTTCCCAAGGCAGTAGACTACTGCAGAACTCCTCCCAAGGCAATAGTAGACTGCAGTACTCCTCCCAAGGCAGTAGTAGATTGCAGTAGTAGATTGCAGTAGCAAAGCAGTTGTACATCAATGCAGATGGAAAAAAAAAACCCACTGGAATGCTTACTGCTGCACAAATAACATTCTGCCACAACAAATAATTATTCCATTTCCCAAGGCAGTAGACTACTGCAGAACTCCTCCCAAGGCAGAAGACTACTGCAGTTCTCCTCCCAAGGCAGTAGACTACTGCAGAACTCCTCCCAAGGCAATAGTAGACTGCAGTACTCCTCCCAAGGCAGTAGACTACTGCAGAACTCCTCCCAAGGCAGAAGACTACTGCAGTTCTCCTCCCAAGGCAGTAGTAGACTGCAGTACTCCTCCCAAGGCAGTAGTAGACTGCAGTAGTAGATTGCAGTAGCAAAGCAGTTGTACATCAATGCAGATGTAAAAAAAAAACCCACTGGAATGCTTACTGCTGCACAAATAACATTCTGCCACAACAAATAATTATTCCATTTTATTTTTAATTACCAAAACATTTCTTGAATACAAAATACATTTTCATGAAAAGTCATATTTCTATAATCTTTATAGTTCAAAGACCTGCTTGTCTTAGCAGCTAAAAATTCATGACTTTATTCAACCAAAAATGTTTCCAACAGGTGTATGAATTTCAGATATCACAATTTATTTGCTTTGTCCTTAAAAAAGTTTCCAGTACAAACTTCTTTCTTTTCATTTTAACAGTTCAGTCCTTTATGTTCTTTTTAACTTCCTTACGGGCATAGCTCACTTGCTCTGTGAAGGCCTCATTAAGGAGGACTTCTCCAACCTTCACGTCTTGTTTTTTACACCAGACAACCATGTCGTCTGTAAAAAAGAAATTATTATAAGATTTTCAACATCAGCGAATGTAAAAGTTGCTGAAATGGTTAAAATGAAGCAATATTGCAAGTATATAACTACCTAAAATACCAGTTTTGCATGCAATGTCATCATATACATCAGGTGTTTTATCAACTGAAAGTTTCACCTTTTTCTTTACTGAATAACTTTATTTTTTATTTATTTTTTCAAAAGTTGATAGGCTAGCAATCTTAACACTGTCAGCATCTTCACCATAGATTAAGCCAGCAGCTGTTTGTACCACAACCCTGACCCCACTGTGCCCTAGCCATGGCAGGTCATTTGGCCAAACTTATGCACTCAACAGAGAAATATGGCCCTTAGGTATCTGCTCATGTAGTGGCAGTAAGCTTGACTCTCTGCTATCATTTTCAATA